AACTTCTTGCTAAGTCAAATCCCCTCAGGCCTCCATCCACATTCCAGGATAGCTATCTGGTCTGTTCTTGATTGGATATCCCCTCCGAAGTGTAGCCAACCATCACCATGATTCTCTACATGATTCTCTACATTCACCTTGCGCTTCTAACTGTAGGATAGCGTTCAACATCACCGCCAATCTCTTATCGACTTGGGTATAGTCGAGATCCCTCAACCGCTTGTATAGCTCGTCGAGAGTAGGCCTTTTCAGCGCTACCGGCATAGACTTCTCACGTATCAACCAACACAAGAAATACTTTCCCAAACCAACTCGAGAAGTACATTATAAGTAAGACTCAAGAAATACCTTTCCCAAACCAACTCGAGAAGTACTTTACCAGTTAGACTCAAGAAATGCCTTTCCTGACACTTGAGAAAGGTTTCCTTTTGGTGTTGCTATTGGAGAACTTAATCAAGCTCTCCTTCTTTCTTCAAATGAATGAGGCTTGATTGTCACTTCAATTTTGCGAAATAATCAGAAAAGTAACCCGTTTTTAGACCAAAAAATTGTTCTTTGCATAAGCTAAGCCTCCCCCAGTATTATGTTTTAAAACATTATCCCAACAATTCTCCACTAAAATTATTCAATTATTGGTTTTAGGAGCATGCATGTTCATTCTATGTTTTAGCACCATCAATTCTCTAAAATTTAATTGTCATGCCAATTACCTTAAAATCCATCTACATAACTCATGCCCCCTTGTACCTAACGCGTGCCCCCTTGAACGTAACTCGAGATTTTTTTGCTACCTAACTCAAGTCTTTCCTGTCCGCCCAAAGCTCAGGCGATACTCAAGTAGTATTTCTTGGGTAGGTCCACCGTTATATATGTTTAAGCAAAGACCACGTGTAGGATGGCATATAATTCCCTAGGGCTCAACTTGCCCTGTTTGGGTCGTAGACCGGCATCGAGAACTCCAGTCAATTTTCAATCATGACTTTCCTCAGTCTCATTAGTGCCAACATCACGTGTTCGTGGTCTATCGTGTTCCTTCCGTGGACCCTTGTTACCAAAAAGCAAAAGTAGTTGCCCGGAACTTGCGAAATTGAAGGAGGAAGCGCAGCCATTACTCCCAGCCCCGGTCTCTGTCTAAATTGAAAGTCCACCTTATGTTATTCTCTCTTGAAGTCGGCCTTTAGTCTCGTATTGAAGCTCTTGTCGGCCGTTATGCAGATCGCACTTGTCCTGTCTGACAAAATGAAATTGCTGTCCGTAATCAGGATGTTCTCTGAATATTCATTGGGTATTCCGAAATTTTGTCTTGGAATTTCTCCCTCAGCTTCCTCCTGATCCAATTCCAACCCGTCGGTCTCTCTCACTTCCCTGACCTTCATTATCATCAAATTTTCGGTGTGGGTAAGTCCAACCCCCACTCCCCGGATAAAAATTGCTGAGTCTAAATTATCCTGTGATATCTCAAGTGGCCGATCGGTATCTTTCGTATTCACATGTTTTTCTGCTGACACCTCGACCTGCTGGATTTCACAGGTTGGCAGCAAAACTGGGTATAATTAACAGTTTAATTAGAGAGCGATAAAAGAGTAGTAAATCAACTTCTATATATATATGGAAAGTTAACCGCCTGTTGAGATCTGATCTCGTGATATGACATCGCGCGATATCTCATGACATCGTGCGATATCCTATCATGTTCTTATTTAAACCAAAAAGTGGGAAATGACTTCTCTATAAAGTGAGAGGTCATTTCTCCGAAAATTAACACTCCTCCTTTCAAAATAAGTACTAAATCAGAGCCTACACTAGTCTGGAGGTTCAGTTTTACCATGTCCCATACGATGTTTGTTAAGAGCAATATTACTGTTTTTCCGTCCTATGTCAAATATCCGTTTTAATTTGCCTGCTCTGCTTTCAAACTTTTTACGCTCCCTTAGCTTTTAACCTAACTTCATGTCAATACTCTGAAATTTCTCAACCTCGCATTAGTTTCTCGACTCCTCCTCACCTCGTTCATTTAATGACGTTATAGATTTTGGATGGGCTCTAGGTTCATTTTTCAGCTCAACTTCTTTCCTTATATCATCGTCTTTTATCAAGTTCTCCTTTTGCTCATCAAAACTATTCTTTTCTGTTTCTCTGCAAAAACAAGTCTTACTGACTCTGAACTCAGAAGATTTGTTTTGCATTTTTTCAACACTTAATTTTTTGTGATTTCCAAATCCTAATATTTTCCAAATGAAAAGATTACCTCGCTCACTAAGTGGATAAACAGTCCATTTCCTTGCTCAATACATTACTTTTCTCCAAAAACTACTTTAGCTCCTCCTCTACTAAGTTTTGACACTGTCACTAAATTTTCTGAGTTTTCTGGTACATAGAAACAATCATTCATTGAAATTTTTTTTCGAATTTTCTTGACAATCTTTCACAAAAAATTCAACTCTTCCTTTACCTAAAACCTTAGACTCCGTTTTGTTAGCGTTTTCAACAGTTTCGCTGAAACTCTGGTCAAGCTCAACAAATAAATTCTTATCCTTTATCATACTGCATGTTGCGCCTGAATCTAAAACTAGGTTACCGTCGGCTCTCTCAGCCGAGTTGTAAAAGATAAAATGAGTTTCAATAGTTTCAGCTAACAGCTGGTCTTCTCTCACGCTTTTCTCTCAAATTCCTTCTTACAATCCCTAGCTATGTGACCTATTTCTAAGCACCGGAAACATTTCACATGATGTCTGTCACTAGATGACTGGTTAACCTTATTCACTAACTTAGATCTACAATAAGCTGCTATGTTTCCTGTCTTATTGCACCTAAAACATGTTTTTATTCTCGAAATAAACGAATGTTCAGTGTCCTCCTTCTCATTTCTATGATCACTTTCAAATTTTAGGAAATCTTTCTTAATTTCGCTTGAACTCTTATCATCTTTGCTAAACTTAACCAAGGTACAAAACGTATTGAACTCTTTTGGTAGGCCTTTAAGAATGATTGACACAGACATCTCTTCACTTAAACCCTCGTCTACTTCATCTAAATTATACTGCAACTCTTCAGCTCTAGTGATATAATCGACTACTGTCTCATTAGCTTTCATTCTTATCGAAGTTAAATCTGAAATCAATTGCTGCAGTCTAGGTCTCTCGGCGCTTTTGAACCTTTTGCACAAAATTTCCCAAGCCTTACTTCCCTCGCCTTTATAAGGTCTTAAAAACAAAACCAACTCATACCAAACATGCAATTCTTTTTCACCTAAAATTTCCCTCCCTTTTCTTAAAGATGCCTCTATCTGTTGTACAGTAGCATTATTCCTAACACTGGGTGCAAAATCTTTCTCAACTACTGCTCTATTGATAACTTTATTCAATTTAAGATGAAAAAATCTAGCCTCAAATTGCTCTGCAAAATACAAAAAATCTTCTTCTTTTCCTGAAAACACTATTCTCTCTGACTTAGACATTTTTCACCTAAGCCGTATTGCTCTGAACAAATACCTTATGTTCCACGTACTTTTCAATGACCAAAAATTCAGTCTATATTTTATCAGCAAACATATCGCATCGCATAATATAAGTATTCATGTATCTCATTACCTAAGTCTGATCCAAAACAAACCTAACGGTAAGCGTACTGAATAACACATCAGCTATTTAGCAAAGCTAAGGTTACTTCACAGACTTCATACTTAGCAATATATATTAGCACAATAGAAATTTTGGAGTGTTTTTTTGTGGAACTTTTTCTCTCTTTTTCTCTCTCTTTCTTTCTGTGTGTGTATCTCTCTTCCGTGTGCTTCTTTCAGCTTTCCGTGTGACTCCAAACTTCACTGATCACTGAATTGTCTCAATGCCCTGTCTCACTGATTCTTTGTTTTGCTAGTTCACTATCTCCAGTTCACTATCTTCTTTTTGACTTTTTCCTCGTTTGTCTTTTTTTTGTGACTTCAACTGTGTCAACGCTTTACAGCTTGCTCTCTCAATATTTTTTGTTAAGTCAATCAATCTTGACTTCTGACACTTATTTTAGCAGCTGGGCCCATAACCTATCATGCGATATCCAATTATTATTCTGAACCAAAAAGTGGGAAATGACTTCTCTATAAAGTGAGAGGTCATTTCTCCGAAACTTAACACTGGATACTTAGCGCTTCTTGTCCCTTGTTCTTGAGGTCACGCATCCATTCCAGTATCCATAAGCTTGTGTTTTCCCTCCTTTCTATCTCGCTCTGCTCCAGGTCTATTTCTGGTATCGAGTGATTCTCCTCTAAGGAGTGTTCGCTGTCGTTCATGATTTTCCATTCCTCATCGGCAACCAACTCGCCCACATTCACTAACCCCTCGCATATCTCCTCGGGTTGTATCTTGTCAATCAAAATTCATCAGCATACCTGTTGTATCTCATGCCTGTCGGCTTGCAATTGGCATTTCTTGTCCCTGCTGTCTTCGGCAATTCTGGATCCGTCCCCTTTGGCACCTCGTTCTGCTCCGGATCATTCAAATTTTCCTCCGCAAAATATCCCGCGTCTGAATCTGCATCTATGTTCTCATTATCATTCATGCTCACGTCCTCCTTGCCGTAATTCTTCCCAGGATAAGAGGTTTCAGATTCTCATAGTGCGCTACACGACCTGTACTCAAGCGGTAGAATCGCCCCTGCTGGTGTACATCCGTTATCAAGACCTGTCCTCCCATTTCTTTAGCATGTTTTGCGTGCCTTTTGGAAGTATGATGCTCTGGAACACCAAGACATACTGCCTCACTGCATACGGCTTCGCCTGAATTACTTTTTCATCGTACTTCTTCCGTTGTCTCATTTGCGCTCCAGCCGTGTTCCTCCTGCAGAGTTCTTTTACTTCCTGTTGTCTCCTGACAGCTTCTTTCATATTAGCCTGAGGCGACATCTTTCTCCCTTCGTATTCTGTATAGAAGAAGGTTAGGGGCATCGCTCTCTCCCTGGCAGTTAACATCATTAAAAGGCTGATTCCCATTGTCAAGTGGTGCGTGCTATTGTACGCCCCTACCACTTGCGGCACTATCCCAGTCTGTCATGTATCTCGAGCAATACACCCTCAGCAAGTTCACCAGCGTTCTGTTCTGTCTCTCCACTAATCCGTTAGTCTGAGGATGGTAAAATGTTGAGTGTGGTTGAGCAATGTGCGATGTCCTCATCAACTCTTTTGACAGGTAACCCACGAAGGCTTTCCCGTTGTCCGTTTGAAACGTCATCGGACAATCATATCGCGATATCCAATGCGTTATCAAATGGTCACAAGTGTCATCCGCTGAGACTGTTTCACATGGCACTGCTTCTGCCAACTTCATATAGTGATCTATCATGACCAGTATTTGACTATATCCCGTGACAGTCTTTCAGATCTGCTGACGGTCTATCTGCACGGCCTCGTTAAATTTCGAGATCTCTACGGACTTGAGTGGGAAATTCATTTTTCTACGGTCTTTCACTTGCAAACATGACAAGCTTGCATTCACCCATTTATCGCACGCCTTTCTTAACCCTGGTCAATCAAACCTGTGTAGTATTCTTTGTTGTACCTTGTCTATCCACTGATGTCCCATCTGGTCGTGCGATCTGAATAACACTTCCGCCTGGTATAACTGTGGTGGTGTGATGAGATTATGCTTGTGTAATATATTCTCCTCATCTGTTCTTCTACATGTCACCATACCATCATCTATGTGATGGATTAAATCTCTTCTCTCTCTCTGTAGAATTGGCTCAAGAACTTTTTTCAGTCTTCATCCTGATCCCCTTTATCTTTGACCCCTGTCCGGATCCATTTAGAGAGATTGCTAGTCATCTTGTCTTTGTTCTGGGTTCCTTTCACATTCGACAGTCTGAATCTCGCTTTGACGTGCTCCTTCAATTCCAGTATCTGACCATTCAGTTCTCCAGGACTGTGGATGTCGACCTTTAACTTGACGCAGACTATCCTTCTCAAGACCTCCCTGCCCTCATCTGGCGCCAGGTTTGTTCTGATAATTAAACTGTATGAAAGCTCCCTGAACGGTCTCCTTGAAACTGCTCATTTTGTCTTCCGCCAGTATCATGCAGAGACTGTCCTGGTCATCGCCGCTCTTCTCTGAGTCTGTATCCCATTATACGGACTCCTCGGACAATTTCTCTTCTTCAGCAGCTTTTTCTGATGTAGAACACACCTCGGATTCTTTACCTAGTCCAAGATGTTCGACCTCCTCCCTAAATGACACTTCCATTTTTTCAAAACGTAGTCTGCCTTAGTATCTCTTCCGGGATTTTCTCAACTAATGACTGCATGACTTCTTTGTCATCAGGTTGCTTTTCTTTCAATGAGTCCTCGGCATTAGTTGCTTCTTTTCTTCTCAGTATTGCGAGTTCGTGTTCGTTCATGTCATTGTTCCGACCTACGAGTTTATCGTCTGCTAGCTTCTCGAGCAATCCCCTCAAGTCCTCATATATCTTCACCCTTTCTGTATCTACTTGATTTGAGATCGTAGCCTTTTGCCTTTAGTGTTTCCGTCACTATTTTTCACTAGAGCATTACTTCCATTGGCATCTCTCGGTTTCTCTTCAAAATTAATTTCTCTTGACGCTCCTCTAGTAGCTTTGGATGATCCTCTATAGGTTTAATTGATTTGTCGAGCCACCTCCTGAGTAGAAAGCTGCGTACGTTTCCTTTCCATAAATGAGAAGCCATCTTTGTATTCTAGCCTATCCGCCTCCCTTTGTTCCTGTCTCTCGAAGAATTTACTCTTCTTACTCAAGCTATCGGCATTCTGATGTTTGTGCCCTGTGTTCAATGATCCTATTGTAGCCATCCAGGCGAACTGTCCATCTCACAATGTAGCTCTGATCCATTGAGTAGGTTTTCAGCCAGCTGAGTGCTCTAATGTCGACCCGTAACTTGAATGGTTCGCTACATAGGTACACCCTGTATTTCTCTACAAAGGTGTTAACCGCAAACATTTCTGCCTTGGGTGCCCCGTATTTCTCTCGGTATCATTCAATACGTTGTTCCAGTATGCTACCGGTCTCAAGACTGCTTCCCATTCCAATCCTGCTCTCGATTGAGTATGTCAGAGATCGCTACCACCGGTGCAACCGTATATAGCACGTACATTCTTTTTTCAGTTGGCTCACCTAGCACAGGTGCTTCACAAAAATCTTTCTCTATTCTTTGGAATGACTCTTCTGCTGCGTTGTTCCACGTGATATTCCTACATCTGCGCCTCATGAGTTGTTGCATCGGGTACACTTTGTCCGCATAGCCCTTGATGAATTCCCTGTAATAGTTCACAAAACACAGGAACTCATCAGTTGGCGCTCCGTTTTTGGTGATTTCCAAGTCAGCACCACTTCTACTGCGTCTGGGTTTGGTGTGATGCCATAACTATCCACCATCCTCCACAGGTATTTAATTAAATCCTTGAGTATCTCGCATTTCGATGGCTTGAATTTTAGTCCTGGTCTCTTCATGCAAACGAGCACCTCGTCTAGTCGCCGGATGTGGTCCTCTAGAGGTGTCGCTGATATCACGTCATCCACGTAGCACATCACCAGGTTACCTTGTTTCTACGTTACACTTGTCAAGGCGGGTGCATTCAATCGTTGAAACGTAGCCGTGGCCTTGTAAAGACCAAATGGCATCCTCTTCCAGTGAAACAGCCCCTGCTCGCAAGCAAACCCTATTTTGTCCTTGTCCTGCTTCCTCAGTGGTACCTGCCAAAAAAAAACGACCATGAATCAAGAGTCGTAAAAAAGGTGCATCCCTTAATTTCGAGAGGCTCTCATCAATCCTAGGTATGGGATAGGCATCCTTCACCGTAACGGAGTTCAGAAAACGAAAGTCACAATAAAACCTTAATTGGTCTCCTTTCTTCTTAGTCATCACTAATCCACACGCCCACGGTGATTTGGATGGTTCTATCAAATCACACTCTATTAGGGTTTCTATCTTCTTTCTGCATGCGTCTGATTTGCTAGGGTTCATACGCCTCGCCTCCTCCCTGAGCGGTACCGCCAATTCCTCAAGCTCTATTTCGTGTTCAACAAAATTACAACATCCATGTCTGCTGTATGTTTTGAAATTTGGCCTGGTACCGACCTAGTACATTCTTGATGGCTTCGAGCTGTTCTTCCGTTACTTTACCATTCAAGTGCTCTATCTCTGGTTTATCCGTTTATCCGTTTTTAATTCTTCTAGTGTGGCTCTTTCCGGAAAATTGGAACAGCTCAAAAATCCAGCTTGACTTAAGCAATTTCACAACACTTGATGAGTTTTTTTTCTGCAATCTTCTCAAGGTTCAAATCTCATCCCAATGATTCGGGATATCAAGAACTTCATTTTCTTTCACATTTTCAGTCATTTCATATCGAGTTTTCACAAGTAGAGCGTATCCCAGTTGCCTTCTCCTCTGGATTGTTATAGGTATATCAAAAGTATTCAGCAAGACACTTACGCAGAGGCCACTCTTGGTTATCGAGAAGGGTCTTCGTAAAATGGCAGCATTTTGACTAATTGGATTTGGGACTATGCATATTTGTTTATTGTTACTATAAATTCACTATAATTTTTCATCCGTACTTTTACTATTGCCGCTTCGTTTGCTTTCAGCCTTACGCTCCTACTCAAGAATACTGGCGCTTTACTCTCGTTCGCTATTATCAAATTTACCGGTTTAATTGCATACTTCCTTTCCATTACTAAATTTTGAACATCGCATTGTTTAGGTCAATTGTTACTTCGAAATTTCTGAAGAAGTAACTTCCTAAAATGAGTTGGTCCGACACATCTAGATTTTCCAGCACGAGAAAGCTCATCCACAAGTTTCGTTTCCCCAAGTTTTTGGCTATTATTTGTGTCATGCCTAGTACTCGCAGCACCTCCTTTGTTTGCTGCCGACAGCCGTATTCTCGAGTCTATCCTCGTATTACCATCCTCTTCCATGTTTCGATTGGTATGACGCTCAAAACCGTTCCTGGGTCCAATAACCCACGCAGTTGAGTCTTCTTTCCGCTTATGTCCAGTACGTAAGCAGATACGTCTGCCCCAGTCCCGATATGCATCGCATCTTCTTCTAACATAGCACAGTGTCCAATCGATTTTACTTTCAATTCTTCTCTACCCACGTAGATTTGTCCGGATAGGTCTTCATCACGTGTTACCATGGTCTTCGTGTAGATGTTCATTCCATCTATGGTCAGCATTACATCATGCGGACCATATGCTTCCGTGTACCTATTGTTGATGTGAACTGTTTTGCTGCCACCTATTGTGAATTGTGTCCACAAGGCTCTAGAAATTGTTTGTGGGCTTATTGCACTCAACTAATACGCCTCACACATCAATGTACATTGATATCTGATCGCTTGGTTCGCTCAGGTTTCGTGTTACTTCGTGACCGCCCACTGTGATTATCGACACTATTCTCACTACAATATTCGTTATGTCACATGGCCGCATGTGGCACTGGCATCGTCCTGCATAATGTCTCATTCAATATCTGCTTCTCTGTTTCCTGCTTCAGTCGTTGCTCGATTTCTTTTGACGCTAAGTATTGTTTCACTTTGTTGATAGCCTCTGCAGCTGCTTTCTCATCGTTTATATCCAGTGAATTCCTGGTCTAAGCCTCCGTGGCAGTTTTGACGTGCGTTAAGTTTTTCGCCGTTCTTGTCGGTAGTTCCGCACTCGCTGCCTCCTTGTTCTTTAGAACAATTTCGACTTGCCTGTTCCCCGTAATATTTACCGCAGCCAGTGCAAACTTGTGTTTGGGATGATTTTTTTCCTTCACTTCACCGCCTTCCAAAACAAGAGACAGTCCATCCTGAAATGGCCCTCTTGGTTACAGAAGAAACACTTTGCGCCTATCTTGATCATGAAGCCACTATAAAACTCATGTTCCTCCGTTTGGCTCATTTCGTCTTCATCCGATGCGTATCCCAGACTTTTCATGCCTTGTTTGAATCTCGTGCAATCAGCTACATGATGATCTGCTGATCCGCATTTTGCGCATGACCTGCGTTTGTCGATATCATCTCAAGGCTTGTACCAGGACAATCTTTGTGGTTGGCTCCCCCCTTGCATGTTCCCGTTATTCGAATATGAGTGTTTCTTGGGTTTCATTAGCATGTACTCTCTATACTACTTTTGTCTCATCTCTTCTGGGATTGGTGCATTATCCTTTGATAGCGTATAATACGTTGCCAACATCGTTCTCAAGTCGCCAATCTTTACCTCGTCGATGAACTTCGAGGCGATACTGAAATTTCTTCTGTTCGTTGAATCTTTCGGATCATTTCTTCTCAAGCTTTCAAGATCATCCAGGAACCGATCGATTGA